AACAGATTCGATGGCATCTAACAACAACATGAAAATTGAAAACTTCTGAGCATCAAAACACATTGTCAAAAAAGTAAAAGGCAATGTACAGAATGGGAGAAATATTTACGAGTCATGTCAAGGTTTAATATCCAAATTATATAAAGAACTCCTACAATTCCACAACAAAAAGACAAGCAATCCAAATGTAAAAATGGATAAAGGACCAGAAGAGCGATTTCTCTAAAGAAGATACACAGATGGCCAATAAACACATGCAAAGAAATTCAATGTTATTAGTAATTCGGAAAGTGTGCAGCAAAACCACAATGGAAAGACCACTTCATCTCACTAAGATAAAAGGGAAAAAAAAGCAAAACAAAAACAGAAAATAACAAGTACTAGTGAAAATGTGGAGACATTGGAACCCTCGTTTTTTTGCTACTGGGAATGTAAAAGTGTGTTGCTAAACAGAATTACCATGTTGTGGTGGTGATTGCATGGCGTCAAGTAGCTGGACCTTAGGAAGCAGTGCAGAACTGCTCACAGGGTTCCCTACCCTGAGGTCATTATGGGAGCAGCTTGCCAGGCCATGGCTCCTGTAGCACTGTTGGTGGGTGTGAACTGAAGACATTTTGCTTAGCAGCTGACAGAAAGCTTAACCACTGTACTACCAGGACTCATTAGAATTAGCATGTTGTTGTGTTAAGTGCTGTTGAATAGGTTTTGACTCATAACAATCACGTATAGGGTTTCCAAAGAGCATCTGATGGGCTTGAATCACCAACCTTGCATTTAGCAGTCCAGTGCTTATCCTACAGTGCTACCGCAGGACTCCAGATTTACCATATGAAATTCCACTTTTAGCTATATACTCCAAAGAGCTGAACACAAAGGCTCAAACAAATACTTGTGTACCAATGTTCATTGCAGTATTATTCACAGTAGCCCAAAGCTGGGGGCAAAAAACAAACGTCCATCAACAGATGAATGCATGACCACAATATAGCATTACACACAAGTGGGCTTTAAAACATTCATGGAAAAACAGAATTGAAAGATAGTGAAATTTTTCCATGAACTTTTGAACTACCCTCATGTAATGTAGTATCATGCAGCTATAAAGAGAAATGAAGTTCTGATATATTACACCACATTTAACCTTGAAATCGTTATGCTAAGTGCAATGGACACAAAAGGACAAATACTACATGATCACATTTGTATGCAATGTTTTAAAGAAGCAAATGCATGAAGACAGAAGATAGTTTAGTGGTTACTCTGGGTTGGGGTGTAAGGGAGTGGAGAAGTCCTTGTTTAATGTGTACAGAGTTTGTATTTGTAGTGATGAAAGAGTTTTAGAAATAGTGGCAATGGGTGTACAACACTGTAATGTAATTAATGTCATTGAATTAACCACTTAAAAAGTTAAAATGGCAAATTGTATGTTATATATGTTATATACAAAATTTAAGCAAATATTTAATTTTTTTTAAATCTGGTATGTCTCAGAAGATTAGATTCACATGCAATTAACTCATTAAAATACGGAAGAAAGGGAAAAATAACAAGGCAGAGAAGAAATGACTTATAAAGTATATCCCTTTTCACCTGCTTCAGTTTTTTCTTCTTCTCTTTGTTTGAGAGCTTGGCATCTGTTATCACATCCTCCAACAAAGCTGCTAGAGGCTCCTGAGAGCCGTATGCTCTTTGGTATTCAAATTCCTCTGGACTAATTTGACGGCAAAATGATGGGGCAGATAAAGTGATATCCATATCAGCTCCTGGGTATTTTATCTGAGGCAAAAGGATTATTAGTGAAAGGAAATGGTACACTTTCATATAAGGTACAAAAATCAGTTCAGATCAGGTACCTGAGTATCTCCAATAGGAATGTCATCTTATCCCTCAATTTAATGAAATAAAACTCTACATGGAAAATAAAACTGCTTACAAAACTTCAAAATGGTATCATTTCAAGCTACAGTTTTAGTATGAGACTTCTACCTTGTTAAATCTAATATCCATTTTAACAAACAAAAATTCAAACATCTGAAATTTGAACATTAAGAAGCATACTGACCAAAACAATCCCAGACTCAAACTGTTGAATGTACACTGGGAGAGTATCTAGAATCCTTCCCATATCTGTAGAGTCAAATTCTCCCTCCCTAAGGGAAGGACAGCGGCACAAGCTAAACTGTTATGTAGAGAGGGGTATTGCAATCATCTCTGACATGTTCACAGTAACAAGGAAATCAAGTAAAAACAAATTTTCAGACATTGTATGACTAAATAAGCACCAGTTGAAAATATTTAATTTCAGAGTTCAAGAGGTTTATCTTCTGAAAAATATAGTACCTATGTGATGCAAATGGCTAACGTATCATTTCAGCAGTTAACTGAAAGACTGGTGGTTGGGGTCCACCCCAAGGCATCTCAAGAGAACGGTCTGGAGATGTACTTTCAGAAAATCAGCCACTGAAAACACTATGGAGTACACTTCTACTCTGACGCCTGTGGGGTGGCCAGCAGTTGTACTCAACATGACAACAACTGATGTGGTTACTATTCTGCTGAAGTCCCCACTATTACATTCACTTTTTATTTCACAAAAGACCCATCTAAAATTAAATATATCGCTTAGAGGATTATTATATTAAGCACATTCCGTGTCTCAAACATCAGTTTACCAGCTCAATTAGAGAGACCAGGAGCCCCTACAGTCAGCAGTTCAGAGCCACCAGTCTTGTTGGGGAAAGATGAGGCAGTCTACCTACTTGTGTAAGGATTTATGGCCTTGGGAACCCTATGGAGCAGTTCAACTCTGTCCTATAGAATTAGTTGGTATGAGTCAGAATCAACTCACTGGCAGTGGGGTTTTTAGATTTATTAACAAAGACCAGAGTCATAGGGTAAGAGCCTCCCTAGGATAAAACTCTCTCTGCTGCCGAGTCAGTTCTGACTCATAGTGACCCGACAGCAGCGTCACTCTGGTAGACAGGGTTGCTGAGACTATACATCTTTATAGGAGCAGTGTCAGATTTCTCTTGCAGAGATGCTAATAGGTTTGAACTGTCAACTTTGAGGTTAGCAGCCAAAGGTTTAACTCACTAAGCCACCAGGGCTCCTTATACACAGGATTGCTATGTTGTTGTGTGTCGTCAAGTCGGCTCAGACTCATAAGTACCCTGCATAGGGTTTCCAAGAGTGGCTGCTGGGCTTGAACTGCTGACCTTGTGATTCAAACCAACCTTGTGATCCAGTGCTTATCCTATAGTGCCACGCCAGGGCTACTTCCCTCGTATTTAGAACAGAAAAGGGACAGAATAAAAGGTGGGGCCCAACCAGTATGAGATAAACGAAAGTCTTTGGCATGAGAAAAACACAAAGTACCCAGGATTGTAGGATACAAACAAGAAGAGGGTTGCAAGCCAGGTGAATAGCAGTCTGTTGCCACAAATGTTGCCAACTTCACAATATACAAGGTTCATCCCTAAAACTGGCCAAAGACAATATACCAAAACAGTCAAATGGCACTGCATTTTCAGGTAAACACTGCCCTGAATGTCCTGTAAATTAGGGGTATAATGGCATCTGTGAAAAGACAGAGATCTAAGGTTCTGAGTGCTGGCACTAGTTGCTGTTTGGCAAGTCTAAGGAATACTTCTATTGAGAGAAAACGTAATTGGACAATTGAGATGATACTGATTCAATTCAGAGTGCATCTCAGTCCCTTTTTTCACAAGATTAACCTTATCAAAAGTTAAATTACTCATCATTAATAGGTTACGCATTGGGCTGCTAACTGCAAGGTCAGCAGTTAGACTTCACCAGCTGCCCTACAGGAGAAAGATGAGGCTTTCTGCTCCCATAAAGATTTGCAGCCTCAGAAACCTATACAGTGTGGCTGCAAGCAGGAACTGACTCAATGGCACACAGTGGCAGCAACAGTCCAGCCTTCTGATCTCCCACTAACAGCAAAGGGCTCACGGGCTGTTGTTTTTAGGTGTCACTGAGTCAGTTCCAACTCACAGGGACCCTATGCCTAATAGAATAAATCTGTCTTGGAAGAAGTACAGCCAGATGCTCCTCAGAAACAAGAATGGTGGGCTCTCATCTCTCGTACTTCGGACATGTTGTCAGGAAGGACAAGTCCCTAAAGAAGGACATCGTGTTTGGTAAAGTGGAGGGTCAGTGAACAAAAGACCCTCAATGACATGGACTACTCAACTGGCACAGTGGCAGCAACAATGGCTCCTAAATAACCACTGTGGAGATGGAGAAAGACCAGGAAGAGTTTAGTTCTACTGTACATGGAGTTGCTAAGATTCAGAACCAACTCAGCGGCACTTAATGACAACAACAACATTCTAATTTTCACACAAAAATTCATGAAGTATACTCGATTTTAACTCTTTAGGCAACTAAAACTGAGGTAGGTTATGAGATTTGCCCAAAGCAATACAACTCAAAAATGGTAGAGATAAGAGTTGTGCTCAGGTCTTTGTGGCTCTAAAAACCCTGTTCCTCTGTCCTATTTTTATAGAAATAGTATGCCATACTGGTGAAGAGGACTGGCTTCATCGGTTTCAATATTGGCTCAGTGACCTCAGACAAGTAACAAGTTATCTGTGCTTCCGCTTCCTCATCAACAAAGATAGGAATTATAATAGTACGCATAGTAACAGTACAAAACAACGACTGTGCAGACACACACTGGACAATATTTGTTCTACTATGAAAAGAATCCCTATGGGCCTGAAACAACTTGATAACACCTAACAATGAGAACTACCACTCGTCTATCAGTCTGACTTACCGTGGTGGTTTCTGAGATGCTGAAAGCTATGCCACTGTATTTTAAACACTAGCAGTATGGACAGGTTTCAGCAAAGTTTCCAGGTGAATACAGACTATGAAAAAGGAGAGGCAGACCATTTTTGAATGGCTAGCCACTGGAAACCTGAAGACTAGCATTGGAATATTATCTGATGTAGTGCTGAAAGATGAGCCCCTCAGATAAGAAGGCACTCAAAATGCAACTGAGGAAGAGTTGCCTCCTCAAATTAGAGTTAACACTAATGATACAGATGAAGTAAAGCTTTCGGGACCTTCATTTGCTAATGGGCCACCACTCAAAATGAGAAGAAAACACCTGCAAAAATCCATTAATGATCAGAAACTGGAATGCATGAAGTATGAAAAATTGGAAGTTATAAAAAAATGAAATGAAATGCCTACAGATCAGAATCCTAAGCATCAGTGAGCTGAAATGCACTGGTATTAGTAATTTTGAATCTATCATTTGACTCGGTATACTGGAAGTGACAAGATATAGTGAAAGGCTGCAGCATTCATTTACAGAAAGAGAGTTTCAAGATCTATCACGAAATACAGTGCTGTCTGTGGTAGGGTAATATCTATAATCCATATACCTACAAGGAAGACCAGTTAATACCACTATACAAATTTACACACCAACCACTACAGCCAATTTTGATGAAACTGATGAATTCTACCAACTTATTCTGTCTGAAATTGATCAAACATGCCATCAAGATGCATTAATAATTACTGGTAATTAGAGTGTGAAAGTTGGAATCAAAGAAGAAGGAACAGTAGTTGGAAAATATGACCCTGGTGATAAAAAAGATGCTGGAGATCCCAGGATACAATTTTGCAAGACTAATGATTTATTCATTGCAAATACCTTTTATTGACATCATAAACAAGGACTATACACATGGACCTCACCAGATGGAATCTAATTGATTACATCTGTGAGAAGAGGGAA